TGTGTTGATAAGAAAATATTAGATTCACATCTTATTATCTGACGGTAGGATAATGTGAAAAATACTGTATTATGAAAAATGTATTTCACAATATTCTAACAGATGCTGCTAGTATAATATCCTAATGGAGCAAATGCACCAAATGTGCTCGAGCATGTTTTTGACACTATTTTCATAAGTGATGATATATCCTAATTGAAACTTACTAAAATTGTGTTTTCTCCTCCAACTGTCATGAAAACATACCAAACTATGTGTTTTGTCTACCCATGATTTAGGAATATAAGATGTCTATTCCTTTTGACTTTCTCCTCTGCGGTTTAGAGTTAGATGTGAAAATATGAGACTTTATTCCTCTGAATATTAGTCCAGTGAGTTAATTCAGTCCCCAGGTATGTATCCATTCTCCTTAATGACGTACGTAGCCAACAGCAGGTTCAAACTGGAAGATTTGGATAGGACATTTTTAGGTTTTGTAAATCTAAATATCTAAATCTAAAATTTTTTAAGTCTGAAAATCTGTTATAGAAAATAGTGGTATAGTCTTTTTTTAAAAACTCATAGAGTGAATCCCTTTAGGAATCTTCAAAGGAAGTCCTAAATATTTATTTTTATCATTGTATATTAATTTGTTTATATTGTATCACCCTTGTATCATGTAATTCTTTCATGAAAACTTGTTTCTTGTGAAACTCAACACACGTTAGAAACGTAAAAAACAGAAATGTACAACTCATGTAACTATCATCCAGGCCAAGAAATAAAATGTTACCCGTACCCCCAGAAGCCCCATCACGCCCTTCCCAATTGCTGTTCCTTCTCTCCTCACCCTAGAGTTAACCATAATTTTGACTTTTATGTTAATCATTTTTTGCTTTCTTTCTAGTTTACCACTATTCGTGCATCTGAAATACTGTGACTTAGTTTTGCCTGGTCTTTGTTTTGTTGTTGTTAGTTAGTTTTGAAATTTACATAAATGGAATCATACAGCTAAGTAACCTTTTAGGTTCAGCAATTTTCACTCAAAGCCATGGTTGTAAATGTAATTATAATTAGTTTTTGTTGCTGTATAGTGTATATATATACTGTATGAACAATATATTTGCTGTATTGTATAAACTCACCACAAATTATTTATCCATTCTGCTATTTTGGCCATTATGAATAATGCTGCTATGGACATTCTTTCATATGTCTCTTGGTAAACATTGCACATATTTCTCTTGGGTATATACATGGAGTGGAATTGCCAGGTCATAAGGTATACGTATTTTTAACGTTTTTAAAAGCCGTATCACTTTACACTCCCACCAGAGGAATATGAGGATTCCCATTGCTCTGCGTCCTCACCACACTATTGGTTTAGCCCATCTATTTGTTGTGTAGTGTTATCTCATGGTTTTAAGTTCCATTTCCTTGATTGCTAATGAAGTTGAGCATCTTTTCGTATATTTATTGGTCATTCATTTGTGAAATTACTGGTTCAAGCGTCTGGCTGTTTTTATATTGTCATCTTTTTCTTATTGATTTATAGGTGTTCTTTACATATTCTGAATTTGGGCTACATATGAACTATATGTGTTGCAGACTTCTTCTCCCACTTGGTGGTTTGCCTTTTCGCCATCGTAAAAGTCTCTTTGAAGCTCAGAAATTTTTTTTTTCCTTTTTCTCCCCAAAGCCCCCTGGTACACAGTTGTGTATTTTTAGTTGTGGGTCCCTCCAGCTGTGGCATGTGGGACCCTGCCCCAGCATGGCCCAATGAACAGTGCCATGTCTGCACCCAGGACTGGAACCTGCGAAACCCGGGCAGCCAAAGCAGAATGCACGAACCCAACCACTCCGCCACCAGGCCGGCCCCTGAAGCTCAGAAATTCTTAATTCTAATGTTGTCAGTCACCAAACTTTTCCTTTATGATTAATGCTTTTGTGTCCTTTTTAGGAAGGCTTTCCCCACCCTGAGATCATGAATATAGTCCCCTATGTTAACATATAGATTTATTACTTTACCTTTTATATTTAGATCCAGAATTGAGTTTTTGGCAAGTTTTGAGGCAGGGGTTAATTTTTATTTATTTGTGTGTGGATAACCAGTTGTCCTAGCACTACTTATTAAAAAGATTGTCCTTTCCTCCACTGCTTTGTAGTTCCAGCTTTGTTGTAAATTGTCTATATATGCCTAAGTTAATTTGTGAGCCTTTCATTCTATTCTATTAAGCTGGTTTACATTGTTTTTATCATGTTGTCTTAAATATTATAGATTTATAATAAACTTTGATACTGAGTAGAGCAGGGCCTCCTACCTTGTATTTTATTTTATTTTAATATTTTTACTGTGCTAAGAACATTTAACATGATATCTACCCTTTAACAAATTTTTAAGTGTACAATACAGTATTGTTAATTATAGGCGCTGTAAGTCCAGCTCCCAGCACTTATTCATCTTACGTAAGTGAAACTTTGTACCCATTGAACAGCAACGCTTCATTCCCGCCTCCCCTCAGCCCCTAGCAACCACCACTCTACTCTCTGCTTCTATGAGTGTGACTGTTTAGATATCACATATAAGTGGAATCATACAGTGTTTGTCCTTCTGTGACTGGCTTATTTCACTTAGCATAATGTTCTCCAGGTTCATCCATGTTGTCACATATGGAAGGATTTCCTTTTTTTTAGGCTGAATAATATTTCATTGTATGTATATACCACGTACATTTTAGAATTAGCTCATCAAGCTCCATGAAGAAACCTGTTAAGATTTTGATTGCAATTGCATTTAATCTATAGATCAATTTGAGGAGAATATTACAAAATTGAGCCTCCTATTACATTAACATAGTATATCTATGTAGCGCTCTTAAATTTCTCTCAGTAATATTCATAGTTTTCTGTAGAGAGGCTTTGCATATCATTTGTTACATTTATTCCTAGATATTTTATATTTTATGCTCTAATAAATGCTATTTTAAATAAATTTTACTTTTAGGTTTGTTATTGAAATATAGAAATGTACGGATTTTAAAATTTTACCTTTCTGTGCAATTGTAATTCCTCTGTGGACTTGTTTAGATGTCACATGTATGTAATTACATGATCTGTGACTAAGGACAGTTTGATCTCCTCCCCTTCTGAATCATGACGCCTTTCATTTCATTTTGTTGCCTTTCGTGAAGGCTAGGACCTTCACCGGCTGGGATCTCTACTACAGTGTTGACTAGAAGTGGTAACAGATGGCATCATTGTCACATCCCCAATTTCAAAGGGGAAACATTCAAAAAAAATTTTTTTTTCTATTTAGTATAATGTTATATGTTGCTAGATTTGGTTTGCTCTTCATTTATTTAGAGTTTTAAACCCAAGTTCATAAATGAAAAAATCCTTTAATTTTTTATAATAGCCTTGTCAGGTTTTGGTTTTCAGGTTTTGGTAGATTCTTAAAGGAAACCAGGGAACGTTTCTCCTTTCCCTACTAAGTAGAAGAGTTTGCATAAAACTAGTGTTATTAATTAGAATTCACTAGTGAAGTCGGGTAGCTAAAGTTTTTTAGTTTTGTCTCTTGTTTGTTTGGGAAGGGTTTTTAATTACAAGTTCAATTTCTTTAATAGGACTTCAGATATTCTATTTCTTCTTGTGTCAGTTTTGCTTAGTCGTGGTTTTCTAGGACTGTGTCCATTTCATCAAAACTTCAAATTTGTTGGAAGAAAGCTGTTCATACTATCCTTTTATCTTTTTCATGGTCTACAGAATATGTAGCAGTGTCTCCTTTTTCATTCCTGATATTTGTTGTTTTGTGCCTTCTGTTTTTTTCTTAATTCAGCTCTTCAATGTTTATTTTTATTAGTCATTTCAAATAACTTATTTTCATTATCAGTTAGTTACTCATAGGTTATTTAGAAGTGTATCCTTAATTTCCAAATATGTAGGGAATTTTTTCTTCACTAGAAGATAGTTTCGCTTTCTAGCTGATTAAAAAACATGCTATGAGTGATTTCTGTCATTTGAAATTCATCGCTATTTGCTTTATTTTCATAAATATTTCCATAAAAATTCCACTGCATAGTTGAGAAAAATGTATATTCTGTCATTTTAGGGTATGGTGTTGTACGTATTACCATCGGGTCAATTTTGTTTATTGTGATATTCAAATCCTTTACATTCTTGCTGTATTTATACGTCTGCTTGTTTGGTCAGTTACTGAAAGAAGTGTGCTGAAGTCCCCACTGCTTGTAGACTGTTTATCTTTCTAGTTCTGGCAATTTTTGCTTTCGGTATTTTGAGCCTATGTTATTAAAGTGCAAGCAAATTTGGAATTATTTTATCTTCTTGATAAATTGAAAGTTTTATCATTATTGAGTGTACCTCTTCATCTCTAGTAATGGTTGTCGCCTTAGAGCTAACCTTGACTAATAGTAATGTAGCTACACGAATTTTCTTTTGGTTATTATTTGCATGGTAAATATTTTCCCATCCTTTTCTGTTCAAATTTCTGTATCTCGGTGTTTTACAATGTTCTGTATCACAGTGTTTTACATATTGATTTATAAATAGCAGATAATTTTGTTTTGTTTATTTAATCAAAGTGTGTTCATCTTTGTCTTTGAAGGCACAGTTACGACATTTACATTTAATGTAATTGAGTCTAAATCTATGTCAGTATTTTAAGAATAAGTCTTTAAACAACAATTTTTCGCACTTAGAAAATAGTTCATTAACATCTCTGAGTTTAAGAAGTTTATCTTCTCTGATTTGTGTATAAATATGCAGGAATATCTGGAAACTTCTCATCTCCTATTATTTCTTTGACTGCTGTTTAGTGAAAAGAGATCCAAGGACTAAAATATGCTAAGAACAACATTTCTAATCTAGTGTTTTGGGAATTTTGTTTGCAACTCTTGTCTTTATTCTGATTCACCTACGTACTTCCAATAAACACAGCATTAACAATGTATCTTTTAATGTGTACATCTTCTTCATAAATATAAAGATTTCCTTTTTGATTACAGGGCTGTGGCTCCCAAATGAGCGTGTCAGAAATGTCCTGCAGTGAAAGCACATCCTCGTGTCAGGCTCTCGAACACGGCTCAGTTCCAGAAATTCTCATTGGCCTGCTTTATCATGCCGCCACTGGAAGACTATCAGCGGAAGTGATAAAAGGCAGCCACTTCAAAAACTTGGCCGCGAACAGACCACCCAGTGAGTGAAAAAAACTTTTTTAATTGTAATGTTTCCTGCACTTATGGGACTCTCAGTGTTAGGGGCTTCAGTCCTATCATTGAGTCCTAACCGATCAAAGTGAAATGGTGTAATCATCAGCTAATCTGTTTCATGTTTTCTATTTCCAAGTCCTTTGGGAAGTAGAAAAATTTGAAATTCAAAATATTGATTGTAAGATGTCAAGACTTTTAATTTTTCATAGTGTCTTCATAATAAATTATCCTTATCATAGCCATTATCTTCTAATGCCAAGAAAAGTTACAGAGTTTTTTGAAGTTAATAATATTCCACAAATATGATGAGGAATATGTATAGCTATTGTTGTTAACTGAAGGTGATGTTGTGTTTTCTGTCTGCATGCAGTACTATGAACTGATGTATATACTGCTGTATTTTTACTTTTCTCCCTTACCAATTTAAGGAAAAACTGTTTCTTCACATTTTTCGTCTTTTAAATCAGTACTACCAGCAATCTTTTCTTAAATGGAATGTGCTTTGCCTTTACCAGGACAGACAGAATAAGGAGCAGTTTGATATTCACCCTAGATGCTAGGAAGAGAAAGCTGGATGGTACCCCTCTGCCCTGTCTCTATGCCCCTCGCTCTTCTCTCTCCTCTCTCTCCCAGCTCTGGGAGGTGGGGGCAAGTTATGGGAGCACAGAGAAGCTGTCACCCAGTATACCTCCAAAACTGTTTGTTGAGAAAGTAGCAGCTTCTTTATACTTCTCTAAAATTATAGCTGTTAATGCCCTAAACTAAAAATTTGAGAGGATATCTTGAATAATAATGGCCACCTTAAGTTTGTTTAAAGATTTCTCACAGATTTGCTTAAAGCAATCTTTTATTCCAAGTATCAAATTATTAAAGGAGGGGAAACTTTTTCCACCCTTGAATTAAATTCACTGTACTTCTAAATGTCCTAAAAATTCTTTTTTCAATCAAAGTGAAAAGTCACAAAAATATATTTGGTTTGCCCCTAGGTAGTATTTGAAATTTTGCTTCTTACATGCATCCCAGAATATATCTATCTCTGAATTAAAAACACAAGGCCAAGATTATGTCCATATTTCTACCCCGGGACGAGTGGCCTAACTCCCCTGAGTGTGTTTCCTTGTACATAAAATTAAGGTGTGTCTTTCGCAGGGAAACTGTGAGACTCAAATCCGATAAAGGTGCATACAAGAAGGAAGGAATTGTTATTGTGCCCTTTGTCCTTTCAATAGGAAAAATACGGAGGGAGGAAAGAGCAATTACTAAAGTAAACAGCTTTGGAAGTATGACTTGGTTACCTTCGTTAATACACAGAATGCAAACTCAAACGGCCTGGGAAGTAACTTAAATGAGCAAAATTTGTAGATGAAAAACAAGGAGCATGGTGAGGCCCGTGACAGATGCAAGATTACCCGCCCTGCCTTAGACATTCAGATTCCAAAACTTCTGAACACTGTTGCAGATAAACAGAATATTATTTGGGGTTACATTTAGCCACAAGCTATCAGTTTGCTGTTCCTGCTTTAGCTAATCGTTTAAGTTTTCGACAGCTATTTAACTTGAGATGCTAAAAAGTAGCAGAATGAAATTATGTGTTTGCCCTTCTGTCCTTGCTGTCCCCACTCTGATAGAAACAGAGAAACACTAATGAGAACTAAACTGAAGGGAGGAGGTGGGGGCAGGGGCAGATAATAAACAGGGTAAGAGAGAGTAGCGTCCACAACAGAGTAGATCTTTCCGGTTCAAGAATAGGTTATAGCAACTTTCACTGTTTTAGAGTTAGATCTTCAGGATCAGGGTGGTTAATAGTGTTAGCTGGGAGGTAGCATTCAAATTAATTATATGAAGTAGAGTATTTATAAAGTAAAATATAATATAGTTTTGTGAGTTTGTCTTATACTGTATATATTATATAAGATTGTCACCCTTCATAAATACCTAGGTTCTAAGCTGTGATACAGACTGAATTATCCAATTTTTATGGAAAGAAACAATGACAACATTCACGAGCAAAAATTTTGATAGTTCTATTTTAGTTTGCATAACTTAATTTTATATTATATTGGAACGAATAAAAATATTTGAAATATTAAATATTGCATGGATAAACTTAAAAATTTAGCATAACAATAGTGATCCTATAATGACTTCTATTCAGTCTTTTATAGTCTGATACTTTGCATGGTTCTATGTTCAATGTGCTTTAGACCAAGAGGATATCATTATAAAGATGTCCCCTTTAAAACAGTGTAATTTTTGTTTAAGATTGCACAATGACCTTAAAAATTCTCATTCCATGAAATTTACCCGACAACCCTTTTGTTCAACCCTCTACCTGAATTAAAATGCTAAAGTTTTGTGTTCTTCCACTCCAGTGAACAGTGTTTCCTCTTTAATTCTAACCTTTGACCCTCTTTCACCCAACAATTGACATCTGGTCATTATTTCTTTTACTGCTTTCCACCCCCTGTTGTCAGATGGACTGTTCTGTTGTCTAAAACACTTGATAGGTGGACAGGTTTATATAATCCGAGGTGAGTTCTTGTAGAGGCTAATTGGATGTTGTCTTTTCATGCAAAAACAGAATACTCTAAAACTTGCCAGCAGTGAAGCTGTCCACCATGTTGGTTTCAAAAAAAAGTGCACATTTATTATCTGTGGTACTTTAAATAAAACTAACTTAGAATTTATCTCTGATTATGGATGATGGTATTCAGAGTATCTATAAAATAAGCAAACCTTTTTTAAATTCAAGGTTTTATTTTTTCATTCATTGTATTTTGATTCATACAACAGAATTAGATGTTTTATGAGAAATATTGCAATTTTCATGACAATTAATTGAAATTTTGATATGAAGTACACATGATGGATCAAACATGCTGAAGACCATTTGCATGAGTCTAAAGAACTTGAAAACACAGTTGTTTGAAGAGAGGGTTTATCTCCCAAATAATCAGGCAACGAACTGTTACGTTTCACTTCGTACACTAAACATCACATCAATTTTTTTTTATAATTCATGAAAATAGTTGATACCATACTTAAAATTTCACATTAAATTGTGCCAAAAAGGAATCCTGCAGCATTTATTTTAACTATCCAAAAAGCACATTAAATGTACTCTTGCATGAAACCGGGAGAAAGTTTTACTTGATTTGCTAAACTCTGAGCCCTTAAATGCATTTGGCTTCATTTTGGCCCTTAAACATTTTAAAAATATATTTAAAAACCACATCCATGCAGAGATTTTTTTGACATTTCATCCTAAGCTGTTTTGATGTCATCTTTGCATTCTTGTCTTCTTCTTTTCCTCTTTACCATTTGCCTTCATTTCTATTTGTTTGTTTATTCTTATTCTCTGAAAACACAGTGGAATGCTTTACAGTGTCGTGGCTAACTGAGCTTGCTAAGTGTTTATTAATGCTATGACGTCCTGCTTAGTGAAGCTAAATGGGGACGGGGATGGGCGGGGGTTGGGGGGAAGTGGGAGGTCAAGGATGGGGGTGGGAGGGTGGAGGAAGGATTATGAGGTATACCTTTAAATTCTAACTGTAATGTAGAAATAGTGAGGTCAAGATGTTACTACCCCCAAAAGATTACCTGCCTGCTTAGCATTCTCTTTACTTGTCACATTTTATAAGCATCTACATCAAAATGGAATTAGTTGAATTTCCATTAAACGTGGTATACACCATATCCTTATAGAGTATAAATACTTAATCTTTGCAGCAAATGTTACAAGAAAGATGTTTTGAGTTTGTTTCAAATGATGTTTGTGGTATGTTGTTGTTTTTTTCCTGTAGATACATATGTTAAATTAACTCTACTGAATTCCATGGGTCAAGAGATGTCCAAATGCAAGACATCGATCCGCAGAGGGCAGCCAAATCCAGTATACAAGGAAACTTTTGTTTTTCAAGTGGCCCTATTTCAACTTTCTGATGTGACTCTCATACTGTCTGTGTATAACAAACGCAGCATGAAAAGAAAAGAGATGATAGGCTGGATTTCTTTAGGTCTGAACAGCTCTGGAGAAGAGGAACTCAATCACTGGACTGAAATGAAAGAGTCAAAAGGACAGCAAGTATGTAGATGGCATGCGTTACTAGAGTCATGATGGATAGGATAAAGGAGCGATTACCGTCCAAGGCAGCATTATTTCTGATCACAGCACTATTCTTTTTACCTAGTCACCGTTACAAGAGCTGTTCTTTGAAGAATCGTCTTCAACATTCTACCAAAATGCTTTAAATTCTGTGGAAGGAACATCTAAACCGACATAAATGAAGGAAAAATGTGTCTCTGGTAGAGCTTGTTTGGGAAAAGGAGAAACGTGTATCGTCCTTGTGGAACAAAACAGTCCTCCAGAGCTTTCAGAACATGCTTTTGGTTTGAAGTTAATTTTACTTTAGCAAAAGAGCCAATAATTTCATGAAAAACCAAAATTCTGAATGATTTTTTAAAAATCAGAATTTTTAGTTGCAGCACTATTTTAGTGTCACCGTACACGTTCTCCATAAAACCTCTTTTGACTGGCTCGTCCCCGGTGTTTGTGATGTTCTCTAATATGGGAAAGTAGTTCTCCAGCTCCATCATAAGTCATATCTAACAGTGAAGGGTTTCCATCACATTGAAAATTGTTTTATTTCAGATATTTTCCCCGCATGCACTTATTTCATTGTGCCTCAGTTCTTCTCAGCACTAAATCTAAGTGCAAGCAAGTATTCATTTTCATACAAGAATTTTTTTTATATGTTATTTTTTAAAAAGCTCATTTCTTCATTTGCCTCTGCTTTTGCCTGATCCAAAGAGACCAAGTCGCTGGACTGGTCCTTTGCAAGTCTTTTAGACAGGTTGTACTGTAGAACTCTGTAACTTTCTGTTGAAAGCACTTCCTGTATTCGTGTATTCCAATGTAGGAAGCTAATAGAGCAGGACTTTACTTTAAAATTCCTTTCAATGATTGACTGTTTGAAATTGTAGTCATGTGAAAATACATTTTTTACAAACTAAAAAATATAGTAGATAAGCTGTTGAAAATTGAAAACAATTCAAGTTAAAGACTATTTTAATTATCTGCTCTGAGTATTTAGTAACCAACACTGCATAGAGCAGGTAGCATTCAAATAAGAAACTGTTCTCTCTCTTCACTCTCACTTCGATTTGTATTTGTGATATAAAGACTCTCCAGTGCTCAGTTTGAATCAGAACGTCATGTTCAAAACAGTTTTGAGATTCCTTATGAAGTTTCTAGTGACTTGTGACTAGATTTTATGAAATTTACAGATAACGTTCTTCAACGTGATGTCATCCTGTGCCTTTCATGTAAGTTAAATTTGCTCATACAGCTTGAAAGTTGTATTTGCAAAATTAGGCCTTCGATTTTTATAAATGTAAAGATTCCTCAGAACAGTGTCACAAGATCTTTATTTCCTCTGAAGTATGTAAAAGTTGTATAATGTGCTAATTTTTTAAAATGGCAAGGCATTTTCATTTGTTCTTTTTATATTTAGGAACTCTGATTAATCAGGAAAATTATAAGCTGTCTTCTTTTTAATTTTGCTTCTTACCCAATATATAATTTTATGCATATACTTTATTAAATAGAATATGTTTTGTATATATAAAAGTATTTTTTTCTCTTTCTAATGTCTAGTTAAACTAGACAAAAACATACTATTTACCAATTACTAAAAAGCATTATATCATCGTTCCTAGTCCCAACTAAGTACTATAGATTATTGTATGCTAGAAAAGCTAGGACTTGTTATTACCATAATAACAAAACCATGCATAGATATTATTACTTCAGCTTGGCTGTACTGAAAGGCCTTAAAAGAAATCCAAAAAGACAGTGAACTCCTAATATTTTTTGGTTTAAAAAGTGGCAGCTCTATGCATTCATACACATGAATTATAAGACAAAATATAAATGCTCTCTTGGGTGACTTGAGGGTCAAGAATCTATGTTTCTAGAGTTACGTTAAAGGAAAGAATCTGTTCTCTTATTGTTACATTAATGAGCTTTTCCCAGGGCTTTTTATAAATGAGTTGGGTTATTAAGTTAGAACATGAATCAAATGGTCAAATATCTCATGTAAGTATTTTCAGCAACAGTATGGAAAAAGACTTGAAGGGAGGGTGTAGATCTTACTGAGAAATTGGATTTACGCATTTGATGCTACAAGTAGCTTTTCTGGCTTTGAAACAACGGACTGCATTGCTAACAGCTGGGATCTTCCTAATAAAAAGAATTATCAGTCTTATTTGTAGCTGTAACAAAACCTAATCAAACACATTATAAGACTGGGTTGGTGCTTTCTCCTTCAGTGAGGAAAACTAGCTGTTATTTGTTGTTTGTTACATCTTTCTTCAGACTATGCCCAGAATTGTGTGTGTGCTTTGATATATCCTTAATGGTTTATCTGATATAAGTGTTAAATCCAATATGGCCTAAAATTAATCAGCGATTTAAAAAACATTTCAGGAAGGACCCTACCTCCACCCCAGCTGCCAAGTCCTCAAAGATTATGAATTATGTGTATGTGTATCTGTATACACACACATACCGACACACACAGCCCAATGTGTATTGTGTGTATTTGTGTGTATATAAAGGTGAAGGTGTCCTGGCTTTTTCAGATAACTAAATAGAAAAGCGTTTATCAAGTTTCTGCATTACTTTTCTCCTCTGTATATTTACTAGAGATTATATTTGGTTTTGGGTGCTATTTGCTACCATTCTCCTCCATACACAGCAAAATATGTATCTTTTTATTTTGTGGATTGACACAATTTAGAGTAATTACTCCCTAAAATTTGTCTGTTCTTTTAGAACAAGATTAAATAGGGCTCCAGAGACCCACTTCACTCGACTGAATCTAATGTACAAGACAGTACTACTGCTCTTTTGTGAGCTTGAATTTGCATGAAAGCTTAAAGGCAAAATCTTATATCTCAGTAATTATATCAAATAGGGGCCCATGGTGGGCAGCAGGTGTTGCCTCAGAAACTTGAGAAAGACAACCCACTTTCTTATTGTGCTCTTAAAATCCCCTAAGTTTTATAATAAAATGAGATAGTCCAAATATGGCAATTGACTGGCATTCATGGGAGCTCCTGAGCCTGGAATTACTGGCTTTATTTGTCTCCCAAATGAGCTGCAAAATGTAGTTGTTTATTACTGCCCGAGAAACAAAGTGTATTTCAAATCTGTAAAGAATTTGTTTAGTATAATATCTTCTTACCTTTCAGAAGCTTTCTTCTATAGTTTTGTGTCTTCTATACTGTGTCCACAGTTTGTGTGAAATCCATTTGCATATTTTCTTACTATGCATTCAGTAAATTCTCAATAATGTATTTAATGACAGAAATAATAAATTGGACCACAATTTAAAACGAGAGAAACCAATGAGAAAATTTCTAAACTACCCATTATTAATATATACATGTTTAAGTGTAGGGTCTGGTAGGGCTGTTTCATCCAGCTTCGTGCAGATGCTCAGGGCTATGTGTTAAATTGTTTTCTTGATACCGTCATCATTTTCATGTCACTTATCAAGTGAATCAGAAGCGTAATCAATGATTACACAGTACGATAGCACTAATGGGGAGGAGGTTATAGAATTGAGGCTGTTCTTCAAGATGAAGATGGAGACCAAGTGATATCATAGTTTTTCAAGTGAACTGAGAGATAGGCTATTTGAAGGCATAAATTTTAGATAAAGTAAGAACAGTAGTCACCAACAAATTTGTCTCATGGTCTCTATCTGGATATGAGTTGAAATTATACAAATCCACTTGCATAAAATTGCCACTTGCCTGAATAGACTAGATAGTCAATTCATAGCAATTTTTCTCATTGATAGTTATTTCACATAGATAGTTATTATTCAAAAGTTTTAATTTCTTTTCTTCCCCATGCACCATCCCCAGGTCACCTGTGACCTCCACTAGAGGTAGCCGTCAGTATCATCACCACCAACCAAACTCTATATTGAGCCAAGGTTAAACACACTACCAAGAATTTTTTTCAGTTAACTCAAAAACATCATCTGTGCCTACCAAAATGTATAATAATGAGGATGGTAACTGCTATAATTTACTAAGCCCTGGTACGATAATTTACCATTTTGTTTGATGCTCACAACACTGTGAGGTAAGTAATATTATCACATTTTGTAGATGAAGAAATTGCAGCATAGAAGCTAAGCAGACTTGCCCAAGGTCATCCAGGAAAGAAGTGGAAGAACTGGGATTAGAACCCAGCTATAAATTACTCTAAAACCTATGCCATGCATGTTACAGCTGCGTCCCTCTTTACTGGTTGCAAGAAAAACAGTCAAAGCAACATTATATTTGTCAATAATCCCACCTACCTTAATTGAATGGCCGAACTAGATAAAGAAAGGGAAAAAACAAGCAGAGCTTGGGAAAGAGAAATAATGACAAAGAAGGAAAGAAGATCAGATGTGTTTGTCTTCAGGACACAAATGGTACTTTTGTGCCGTACTTTGTAGTTGACTTTGATTTTCAAAGACTTGGGGATTAATTTACTTAGCCACTTTAGCCCATACTTACTTATATTCTGAAAGTGTGTTAATCGGTTTGTTCTGCTCCTTGTCCACTTTTGGGAATCCAAGATATTTTAGTTGTATATGATCACCTTTCTACCCTATGAAGTGGATAGCCTGTATCCATTAGGATACATTAGGATTCGCTGATATAATTCCCCGTATCAATGGTGAGAGGCAAGTCTCTTCTCTTCCTCTGTGCTTTCATGGCAATTTATTTGTGTTTCTTCTATACTGTTTGTTAAAGTTTAACCAGATTACAGCTAGTTTTATTATATATGTTTCTCTTTCTCCCTTGGTAGTAGTTAATGCCTTGTCTTATTACCTTTATGTGCCCCTTGCTCATTGCAGGCATACCATAAACATTGAATTGAATTAAATTTCCTATGGAAGAAATCAATAATACCATTATATAAGTCTCAATTTTTATGAATCTTGTCTTATGCGTGGATTTATTTATTCTTTCATTTCATATATGTTTGTAAGAGTACTTACCATGTGCCATGTGTTGTTCTAAGTGCTACAGATGCAGAGATAATAAATTGGATAGACAAAGTCTTTGCCCTCATGGAGCTTGCATATCAGTTTAGTGAAGGAGAACAACATGGAGTTCAGAAAAATCTTCCTGGAGAAGGTAACCCCTGAGTTGGATCTTAAAGAACAAATATAGATTAGACTCACATCAGGAAACATTTCTCTCCAAGGGCAAAATTTAAAAGAGCGGTTCCCAAACTATAGCATGTTTAAGAATTATTTTGAGCACTTAATTTGTATTCCAAAGCCCTACCTCCAGAGATCTCTTTCATTTGGTCTGGGGTGGAGTCCACGAATCTACATTTTATTAAGCTCCCCAGGAAATTCTGTCCAAGATACATTAGTATAGAATATTTAAGCTCATTATATAGAATTATTGATTGCAATATTTCAGTGCCCATAGATTAGATCTTTAAATGTGCTAGTGATAAATAAGAGCGAGATTAAGACTAGGATTAGTGCTATTGATCTTTTACTTGTGCATCCTTAAAAAGAAAGATATTTAATGAAAAAATTGAAAGTAATATTTAGTGATGAGTTCCTGTCCATTCTCATTCAACATAACTTTTGCAAAGTATTCCTTGGTGTAATAAATAAATTCTATTTTGTTGGCTTTATGATTGCTGGAAATTCCTTTGGATTCAAATATTCGTTCACATATTTCCAAGCTATCTTTACAATGATAGCTATAAGACAAACATATTTATCTGGTGTATCCCTGTCAGTATTCTAAATGAAATAAGACTAACCTTGAAGTAAATGTCTGGTAGCAGCCGTTGGTGGTGGCGTTTTTCATGCTTGTGTATAGTAATCTTTCTTGCCTTTTCTCGTCATCTTGAATGGCTTCGTTGTCGTCACACCCATCAGATGAACCACACTCCTGGATCTTCACTAGGGACAGCAGTGAATCTGTTACCTCTGCTCTGACCTCCATTTCTTTAATTGCTTTGCCCTTTCTTAGGGCCTTTTATTTCAAATAGCAAGTTAATACAGCAGCCTCAGGTCCTCCTCTTTCTCTAAAAATAAATGCCGTGGATAAGATTCATGTAAGTTTCTATTTTCCCCCACTTAAAACGTAGCCTTACCTCCTTCTCTGGCGTAATATTTTGCATGAATATATTTTGAAATTTTTTCCCAAACAAAGATCTGTGATTGACCCACTGAAAAGTGAGGTTATTTGAATATCTGAAATAATATGGTTATGGAATTAGGCTGTTTTGTGACTGCTGCTGTATCATTGTGTTTGCTCTGGTTATAGTTTGAAATCTGGTTAATATAATCTTAATTTGAGAGAGTTAGATAGACTAGAATTATTAGTCCATTATAAAAAATGAATGTAAGAATCTTTTCTCTCCCCATTTAGACAACTTTGTATCTTTTTTAAAAATGTTCCTTCTTTCTTCCTCCCAGCCTTTTCCCCCGACTCCTATTTGTATACATTCACACTAGATACCACAGTTCTTCAAAGCTGAATAATAGCTATTGAAAACTGATGCTCTGACTTTTTTCTCTTAATCTCATGGACTGAACAGTAGGGAGGACCATATAGGTTTCCTCAGAGACCAGAGAGAGAACGAAGCATGATCTTCTTTGTCCTTGGAGGTGTGTTGTGGCTCTTGTGATTGTTGTCATCGTTGTCAACATACCTGGAATAGCGTCAAGTACCCTAATGTCATGTTGTATGGGTTGGAAGCAGAGAAGGAAACTTGATTATTAGTCTAACAAAAGTTTGGCTGAATTTTATTGTAAAATTTCAGCCCCTTAGTACATAAAAGTTTCTAAATAATTAATTATGAGAACAAAGTCACTACTGTGACAATAGGTCTCAAGATTTTTGACATTATTTCAATGTCAATTTGACAGTCTGTGTTGTAAATTGTCCTATTATTTTAGGGCCCTTCTTCACCCTTTTCTTTATTATTCTGATTACTATTTGATATTTCAGTTTGTCTTTGAAATATTCAAGACAACTTTAAAAAGAAAAACCTGAACACCTTCTGTTTTATTCCTTCACCATGTGATCTCTCACGTGACACGTATTGTGTTTAAAATGATGCCCAATAGATGAAATATAATACTCCATCATACACTGAAGAAATAATTTTCTGAAATTATTTGTATATTCAGGTTTTTCTAGAATGCTTGCTTCTATAAATCTAAGCAGTTCATAGTAAACATGACTGTTTTGTTTAATGAGAAAACAGGAGTTTTCCCTTATCTCAGATTTATCGTTTCTCTTGCCTTTCCCACCTGAAGGGGGATGGCTGCGCACCTCTGACCAACACCTCATCTGCCAGTTTCTGAGTGTGCTCTCCCCCTTCAGACGGTATTCTTTTCAGTAACAACCAGAACTTTTATACCCTCAGGTGGGTCCTCACCAGTGATTCCTCTTCATGAGCCCCATTAATATTGATGAAGGTCACACCTAAGCACCAATAGGAGAAAAAACACCCTAAAGCATAAAGGATGAATATCTTAAAGCCCTGGTAGAGGCTGGCATCTTCGATACCTACATGTGGTTTCAGTCATAATGGAGTAGAAGCCAACTTCCTGGAAATGAGATTTTAGGTGGTTACGTCCTAGAGTCTCTCCTCTGGTCTGCTTTCCCCTCTAGCTTGCACATTCTTTGATTTTGAATTTTGTGAGAAAGCCTTTAAAAAACCCTGGTTTTAAAAATTTCAAATGTTGACTTAACTGTGCAATTTCAAAAAAACAGGAAAACTGAAGTAAATACCATAGAGTCATAGGAAGGCTTTGGGGGAGCGTGGGGGGAGATGGTGCTTGTTTTAGTTTGGGCAGTCTTTTTGGATAAGTATTGAGAATATTTACAACATTCTATGATTATGTCACGTTTGTTTTGTGAGGGGAGACCAGGTTAGCTTTTGCATATATATTATTTCTCTTAGTATTTAAATATATTTAAACAATTTTGTGAAGCAGAGCTAGAAAATAATGGTGGTATTTCAGACAGTATTTTGAAATTATAAATGTTACTTTAAATTGAATAAGAGAAAATTTCCAGTAGTAGCTTACGTTACAAAATTAATTTATAATATTTCTGCATAATTTTATTGAGATGACTTTTGTTTTTGTGGTGAAAATAATATAGTGGCAACAATTTTGAGGAATCTTTAAAGCTGTCGTAGAAGGGACAGCCAAACTTTGGCTAGATTTTTACTAGAATTTTGAAATAAGAAGTATATCAATGTTACTTTTCAGTTCAATTAGTCTTGATGAATAACAGTTATTATGTGAGTTTTAAGGGTCTTGATAAATTTGGGATCTATTCTTTTTCTAAAGCTCACGATGTTCATCACTGCTCAGTACTCTTGCATTGTGTTTTATTTCTCAAAATAATGTAATTTTTATGGAAAACTCAATTAGTGGAATCTTTTATTCAATATTCCCTCACTTTGCTGCTTTCCTTCCTCCTCCCTTCCTTCCTTCCTACTTCTTTCATTTTTTTGAGTCAAGAAGCTTCCTTAATAGTATAGTTTCTACAGAGCTTTCTTACTTATTTTTCTAATAATGGATATAACAGTGTGATGAAGTTTAAATGCTCTGTGAGCAAAACTCTATTAAACAACTTGAAGAAATGCACTGCTGATTAGCATTTCCCTTGGTCTTCAGTTGTCTCCAACATACTTTGTAGTGACTCTATGCCATTAATGGATCTTATTAATATATACTAGTGTCTGTATGGTTATCAACAGTGTTGTATTATTGTCACATTAATTTTGCATTTTTGGTCAAAAATATAAACAGATGTGTGTGTGAAACAACCCATTTTATGGAATGAGAGTATATCTAATCATTTTCATGTAATTGAAAATGTGCTATATGTTGCATTTTATTCTCATATCTACTTTTCTACTATCTGTACACCGATTGTCTCGGTGCCTTTTTCCTTTTGTATAACTGTATTACATAAAGAAATTACTGACCTCTGTGTAAACTATGTAAAAACTGTTAAAATTATTAATCCAAGGAAATTTTAATGGCAGTTCAATTTTCCAGAGAATAAATATTTGTGTGGGTTGAAAGTTACTTTCCTTCACCTCTCTGTGAGAAATGTCTTCACATTTTAGTACTTACTTGAAATGGGTAAGCATCTGACTTCTCTGATGATGATAAGCAAAAATAAGCCCTGATTCTTATCATTGACAAATAAGTGTTAATATGACTGTTACACAAAATAAAATTATGGCAATGGCATAAGCAAATATCAAGTGGATATATGTTAATGTTATTAAGATCTCAAGTTTGAAAGAAATCTCCTTTAAATGTGCTATAAAATATTGCTATCAAAATGTTTGGGTCATGTTATTTTCTTTAATTCTAAGTCAAATCTGACCTCCAAAGAAAATAAACTACAGACAAAGTTAAACATTTTAAAAGAATCTCCTTTAAAGTTCATAAATAAATCAAGAATGAAACTAACTAGCTTTAAAATGATCTTCATATCTTTAGCTGGAATATGCATATGTATACACTATTACCTAGCTTACTCTTTCGTTTAATGTGAATTCGTCATAATTTATATCGGTGTTGTCATTCTGTCTAACAAAATCATTTTCTATTTGGCAATAGTAGTTTGTTAATTTTTAATTCTTTTTTATTAGATGTTTGTTGTTTCCCAAAGACCTTGGGTTTAGATATGTTTCATATTTCATTCTCTTGTCCATTTTATTTCCAGCAACAAAGATTATAAAAACAGACTTTAACAAGTACTCTTTTCCATATTAAAAGGAATTTAAACTTTGGTGCTGCTCTAAAATTAACAGAAATTGAAGTTGCTACGTTATATAATCTCTGATCATCTTTGAATCCTTAGTTCCATAAATTAACCAGAAGCCTTTTTAGTTAACTTTTTTAAGAGCAGAACACCCGTGCCCAATTGGTCTGGTTTAATTTTGTTTTGTTTTGTAAGAGTTGTCGCTACTGAAACACAATGAAAACATAAAACACTTCTGCTGAATTTCATCTCCAGCTAAGTTTAAAGAGTTCGTGTCCCTTCCCAGTACTTGCTGCTGGATTCTGCCCTCCTCACATGTCTTGGGCTCCCATTATTAAGACATCTAAAGATGAAGAAGCAAAAATAATAGACTTGCTTATGAATTTACTCCAAAAAAAGAAAAAATATTTCATCTGGGTCGTGGCTTATTTTTTTTTTTTTTTAAAGATTTTATTTTTTCTCTCCAAAGCCCCCTGGTACATAGTTGTATATTCTTCGTTGTGGGTCCTTCTAGTTGTGGCATGTGGGACGCTGCCTCAGCGTGGTCTGATGAGCAGTGCCATGTCCGCGCCCAGGATTCAAACCAACGAAACACTGGGCCGCCTGCAGCGGGGCGCGCAAACTTAACCACTCGGCCATGGGGCCAGCCCTGGGTGGTGGCTTATTGTCTTTCACAGAATTGCTGTTGATAAAAAGTGAAATTTCAGCAGAACATGGGCACATCTGCATTCTAACTACCAAATCATGAAATTATAGGTTTTTTTATCGTTAGGGATTCAGGAATTTAATCACCATACCTTGTTATATACTTAAGATTACGTTTTAATTAAAAATTGATTGATTGTAACTCCTTTGATCTCCAGTATGCAAAATAATATTTAAGTCAACTTTTCTTTCCATAGATTATCAAGATATTCCATGATGTTTCCCATTTGAAAATAAAATCATCCCCAATTTAAAAATAAAAGGTCTCAGTAAAATATGTAAAATATTTTGATTAGTATTTTATAATGAATTATGATAGTATAATAATACATAAAAAATGCTTCTACATAATAAAACGCCAAATAAATGGGGACAATTTATATAAGGATTTCCTAAACTTATTAATAAGAAAAAAATGAAGGCATATTCTCTGTTAGCATAAGGAAAATATATCTAAGGGAAAGTTTTCCAAACAATACTTTTAATATGTGGTAGCAGCTGCCCACTCTTCACAAAAATCCATGTTTTTCTCTTTTTCTTGGTCACCTGGCTAGCTTATGTTTATCGGCGTCCCTTGAGATTAGATATGGCCATATGACAGTTCTAGCTAATGGGATTTGAGCAGAGATGTTGTGCACCAATTTCCGGGAGGCTCTTTAAAAACAAATACGCCTTCATGCCTTGCTTCACCTTCCATTGTCTGTGTAGGGAGGAAAATGAAAGCCAAGGCAACGGCAGAGCCACAAGTTGGAAAGTTCTGGGTCACTGAGTCACCTCACAGAAAAAACCGGATTTATTTGCTTTGGAATGTTAACATAAGTGAGAACAAAAACTTCTATTGTCTTTGAACCATTACACGTTTTAGAGTCCATTTGTTACTGCAAAAGATTGAAACGAAAACAAATATTGAGACCTTCCGATGCGATTCTGTGAGAATGAAAACCTGCAATGTGTTACATTGGCTTAGCAGCCGAGCAGCCAGCAGTGGGGAAACAGATACAGCAGGCTGAGAAACTGTAACCCACATTATGCAGTGGCAAAACATTTGGCAAAACATTTGCTAAAACAGTTGCCTGTTTTACTTGGAAGAGGGTCCATGTAACTCCTGAACCAATAGTTTAGGGGAAATGGATGGAAAGAGCCAGAGGACAGTGTATTTGAGAGATTTTTTGCTAAAAGATATTATGAGAAAGCAGCAAGCTTGGACAAGAAATAAATGGTTTTCAAGCGGAGACTGAAGGGAATGGAGCAAAGATTAATGGAGCAGAGATTAAGTGCCTTATGGGTTTGAAAAGTCTACTGCTTCTGAACCCCAAATATTAAGATTACAGATTTTAATCTTTAAAAGGTCTCGAGTAAGAAAGGCTTATTAAGACTGCACAGCTAAACAAAGGGACTCAGCCATGTGGCAAAGATCAGAGTTTCTAAAGTGTTGCCTGTTGTTTCAGAGGAACTCGTGGTAGACTTGCATGCTCGTGAAGCAAGCTATGAAAGTTCTCTTACTCCCACGAAGGAAATAATTCTCAACGCCTACTTCAAAGGAAACCATAGCATGTAATGGAAAAGGAAAACCTTCCCAGAAGTCAGAGCTGGGCACCACCGAGAATAACGGATAAGGGAGTTCCTCTTAGACAATAGATCCACAGTAAATCAAAAACTCCTCTACCAAGAGGGAAGTAGGGGTTTTCACTGCTATGAATCCATGACTGCTCTGTGTTTCTCATTCTCCTCCTTTTCAAATGAGAATTTAAATTGCAGCTCTCCACTTCCTACTCTCCACTATAAATTTGGTGGAAGCTGGGGGTTGGGGGGCAGGTAACTTGTGTTTAAATTCCTAGGTCACTGGACTTGATGGAAAGGAGAGTGAATCACCAGAGATATGGGACTTTGAAAAGATTGCAATAACTGGTTGGGACTTGAGGTTGTCTTCCTCAGGAAGAATGTAAGCTATTTAGCAAAATCTTTATTCTCCTCCTCCTGGACACACACTAGACTACATTTCCCAGCCTCTCTTGTAAATATTTATGGCTGTGTGACCAAGTTCTAGTCAACTGGAATGTGAGTGGAAGTGATAAACATCATTTCTAGACCAATGCCTCCTTCACGATCTCTTTCCCCATCCATTAGATTACAGATGATGATGGGTGCCCAGGAGGATGGTGGAGCCATAAGATGAAAGGAGTTTAGGTCCTTGAATCATGCTTGGAGATCATCTTCTCACCAGCCAATAATATCTTCTTCAGCGTGTTACATGAGCAAGAAATAAACTCCTGCGTGTTTTAGCTAATACGTTTCAGGCCTATTTTGTTCCTGCAGCACCTACCTTACACTAGTAGGTAAGCTCCAGGCTAGCAACTGAGAGAAGCCTGGATGGCACAATAGCCAAAAGGACAAAGCTTCAATACAGCATGAGGAAGGACAAGTTCTGACACCTGATTGTTTGGGGACCAAAACCAAAGAATGGAGTCAGTCTCAGGAACACTGCCTGCCAGCACTACCTGAAGGAGCTATTTTTAGAAACATGTTTTGAGGCTATTAGAGAGATTCAAAATACTTGTCTCTCCAACTTGACCAAACTAAGAGAAGTGAGTTCTGTGACCCAAGAGATGAGATGAACTGATGGGTTGAAAGCCAGAGAAGCAACTAAAACCTAGGCATCAAACCTAGAGACAGAAGTGAATCAATAACAACATTGGGGAAATACTAGACGAAGAGAGGAGGAAATCAAGCAGAGAAGAGATAGCAGAGTTAAGGCACGGACACCAGAACCATTACGAGGGACAAGATGAGCGCCAGACTGTTAAAAAACTTTGAATCCAAGGTAGAGACTTTTGGACTTAACCCTGTAAGGTTTAGAGTAGACAAGTGAGTTTAAGAATGGTCGTCTAATAGGGGATCAATTAGGAAGCTATTTTTAAAATCCAGATAATTTTTAAAGGTTAGGTAACTAGACATGAGGTAATACCAGCATCCTAGATTAGGTGAGTGGAGAACGTTCTTAAAAAATGAGATTGATGAGACATTGTAAAGGAAGAGTTTCTGATGAGACATTGTAAAGGAAGAGTTTCTGGGATTTGATTACTAATTGAATGGGCTTGGGCAGGGGGCAGAAGTGCATGAGAGAGGATGGAATTAATAGAGTGGTTTTGAGTAGCAGGTGAGTGAGGAATGGGGCCACCATAAAAGAGTCCAGAGAAGAAGTTGGGTTTTTAAGGGTTGATTTTAGGTGTGTTGACTTTCAAATGACATTTTGTGGAAAATGTCCATGAATTGGAAATGAAGAACTGGAATTTAGGAGGGAGGCAAAGACTGGAAAGAGTTTTGGGACTCATGCAAAGCACTGGAATGACTCAGTCACAGGAGCCGCAGCTGATGCATCCTCCCTCCGGAATTTGAGTTCTCTGACGGCAGAAACTATTTGTTTTGTTCACAGCAGCATTCCCAGTGCCTAGAACAGTGTCTACAGCATAACAGGTATTAATGAATCTTTGTTTCTGACTGAGTTTGGGACCTTGGGAAGTTTGAACAGGGGAATTTTTTTGGTTTTTGGTTTTTGTCCCTTTTTTTGTAGTTATTTAGTTGAACAGAATCGTTCAAGAAAGGTTATCTTTAATTTGCATTATTTACCAAGGCAAGAAAAATAGGCAAATACATTTTAGAAACATTTGCATAACACCTGAAATGAAAAGATTCCTTGTTTAACCATGAAATTTGATTTATGAAACCTGATAGCCTCTGTGAGTTCTGATTCAGTAATTAATAAAAACTCTATTTCTAACATTTTTAGAATTGTTAATAGGAAAACAATATTAAGCTGATATTAGGCTTAATTTTTAAAATAAACTTTGTTTTAGCACAGTTTTCAATTTACAGAAAAAATGAGACGATCATACAGAGTTCCCATACACCTGCACCCAGTTTCCCCTATTGTTAACATCTTAACGTTAGTGTGGTACCTTTATTTTAGTTAATAAAGCAATATTGATATAATTAAAGCCCATCATGTTTGTAATCAGATTTCCTTAGTTTTTACTAATGTAGGTTTTCTCTTCCAAGACAGCACATTACATTTAGTCATCCCGTGTGCTTAGGCTCCTCTTGATTGACAGTTTCCCAGACTTTCCTTGCCTTTGATGACCTTGACAGTTTTGAGGAGTACTGGTCAGGCATTTTGTAGAATGTCCCTCCCCTGGAATTTTTCTGATTTTTTTTAATGATTAGACTGAGGTTATGGGTTTTAGGAGGAAGACCACAGAGGTGAAGTGCCAGCTTTGGCAATTGGGAGCTCTCATTTGGCTCCTATGTCCTTTTGACATACCTCC